GGATGCGCTGATCTTAACTACTAGTTTGAATTTAAAATTTGTTGTTGGTTGAACTATTTATCGAGAAAGGCTATCAAAGTTCAGGCTGAGAGCTATAGGAGCGAAAACAGTAGGTATTTATATATATATATATTTGTAAACAATGGCAAAGATTTTAAGATTAACTCTTAAGAACGACGCGACGGGACGCGGACGACGTTGTGTGTAACAGCCATAATTTATAAAGCAGAGGAGGTAGTTTGCAAAATAATTTTTCTAAAGACAACTTTTCTACGCGGACGCAGCTAGTTGTTAATAATATTAGAAACTAGAATTCACATTTGAGTTGTCATTAGGGATTCATTCTTTAAACAAAACAGTTAAATAATCCGAAACGTCGGGCCGAAGTTAAAATTTTCAAAAAAGTTTAACTAATTTATTTCGCGTTTAAAAACGTTAAAATATTTTATTATTCACGTAATTACTGAATCAGCTTAATACCTGAAATGTATATTTTATTTGACAAGTGGGTTACACGTGCCTAATAAACATTATTATTAACTGTTGCCTAATTATCTCTACATCAAGTAAATCTACGTACTGTTGTATGCAAATTTTCCACTATAATAGTGCCAATGCGTATATATATATGTTATATAAATAGCATAAGTATAAGAGTTACATATTTATCGTCGCTGAGTACGGACATTTTAGAGTGAGGTCCCCACTATTAATTGTGCGTTATTTTATTTAAAAGTGATTTAAGCCCAGTAGCGAATTATCTTTTAAAAAGAAACCTTACGACCCCGTGCACTAAAACAGTACAGTCATTAGATGAAAAAGAAATCTTCGAAACACATACGATTTTGCACTGCCCCGAACAGTTCATCTCGACAGAAGTCAAAAGCATTATTCGGAGCCATTTCACTTATATGGGCACATAGTTGACGGTAACAGCGCCGCTATAAAGGCATTCATTACCCGTAACACAAGAGCCGTAGTCGCGGTTGAGGTAACATTATACCGGTCTGACAGGTATCATCGGTGTGACAACGTACGGGCGACGAAACTGCGAACAAACGCCACTCTAATTGTGGGCTTATCACGTCGCACGACTTTGTCGGACTCGTTGGTCTAATGGTGGCAATGTGTGGCTAAAATATGTCTACTTAGTTTATAATTTACCTACAAGATATTGGTCTTCGTCTGGATATTAAACGGATGGTAGGAATAACGAAATTCTGCCCATGTCACGAGTCTAAAAGCTGTGAAGTTTATTAGCGTTTCGGTTTAAGTCGGATTTCTGAATATCCGAAGCAAAAATAGGTTGGTATAGCACATCTTTCAGTTTCGATATTGTCAGTTCAGTTTGTGTTGCCATAGATATTATTTGTCTTTGTAACGAGATTTCTTTACCGCTCTTGATTTTTATATGAAAACGGAGGGCTAGATTTGGTAGTTTCTTAAAAAAAAGTAGTATGTTAGATACTATATTAGTATAATTATTATATGCCATGATTAATATAAAAAAACCATTAAAATATTTTGTATTAAATAAATAAAATATGACCCGAGTGGGACTTAAACTTGTGATGATGATGTCCATAGAGCTCCGTGCTGCTCTTCTATCAATGAAGCGACCGACATGGTAGAAGGGTAAATTTAAGAACTTCGTATAAAACGCAGCGATCCGGAATAAAATATTGTTCCGTGTGTTCCAAACTTCGGACCTTCACTCAGTGCTTTGGGAGGTCGAATGACCGGACGTGTGGTAGACTTTAATTACGTACTTAATACCGCCCGTATTGCCCATGAGCCATTCCGCCCATATACTTTGGGCGGGCGGTGTCGTATTTTAACTTAAGAATAGTTCTTTAGACTACATTATTTTCGTTCACTAATTACTGTGGAATTTCAGCCCTAAAGCCGTTAGGTAGTTCCTTTTTATTTTATTATTTCTATCGCTTATAGTGTTACATATTATATAGACTTTATTACAGAACGTGTATACATTTTAATAAAACTCTTATAACGGATGAAAACCTAAAACGTATTAGTTAAACTTCTTCACAAATTTAACTATTATTTTTTTTATATTACGGATGCTTCGCAGCAGCCGTGGTCATAGGGGGAGTCTCCTATAACTTGTATACAAATTATTTTAACTAAGTAAGTTTAAAAAAATTTAAAACAAATTGTTTTTTTTACTTGGGCAGGACTCGACCCGGCATCGAAAGCGTTCCGTGCTGCGTTGCTCTATCTAGTTTGCTAGAACTACCGAGTCCTACACCTCATCGTCCAATTTTTTTTCAACTTATTGATAATTAATGTAACCTGCGAATTTTTTTTTTTGATTTTTAAGTTTATTTTTTAGTGCCATCATGTGCGTGTGAAAAATATCAAGTCAATTACACAAATATATTTCTCGTTCTAAACCGTTAAAAATCTTTTATTTAAATGTGTACTTCTCACGTAAACTATATAACACAAACTTATCATTCGCACATTAAGATAATATATAATTCTATGTCATACATGAAATTAGGGTATATTTTACTTAGTTCAGAACGAAATCAGAAAGCACAAGAACTTCTAGGCTCACTTTCTAAGGATGCGGTATTATTAAACGCAATAAAACATTCCAGCTCAAACAAAACGCCTTTGGAACCACTTCCACTTGGCAACCGTAATTTATTTTGACTTATAGACTTCTCGAGTCTATTTTCGCCTGTTTCCTGAGTGAATCATTCAGTCAGGGAGCGTATTTAAATTAGATTTCGTTTCGACACAAATCAACTTGACCGACTTCGAAATGCGACGTTTGTTTACTATTTACTTGCGATATTCAATGAGGGCTTATGTAAGACATAACCGCTACTATGTTTGATGTCCAAGTGTTTTGTTAACAATAATTGGGGCATTGTTCATCTGTATTCGTTATCAACTCTTGAAAATAGAGAGAGAGAGATGAACGAGAGTCAAGAGACCTGAACCGACATCCATATCCGTATATGTAAAGTTCGAGTCTTGCCTATTCATATAACAATATGATATATGATATCTAAACAACTAACAATCCTCGTAGAATAGTTATAACTCTATAATTTTAAGTTTTTACCCACGAGGTCATCAGCGTCCCGTCCTTTTTGAAAATTAATCTTTAAGGATAGACATATACTGTCCCGGACATTTTAGACCATTTAAAGAAGAATTATTATTTTATACATTTTACACTTTTGCGTATCTTGAGGCATTTTCGTAACGTACGCAACGGAAACCCGCTCGGATGAATAATTTTCCGCGTTTTCTTCACATTTCCCGTTGTTTCTTTGCTCTTATAAGTCACATCGCGATGTTTACAACCTTTAGCCTTCCTCGATCAATGTGTTTACCAACACAAAAATGATTTTTCAATTCGAACCAGTAATTCGTAAGATTAGCGCGTTCAAACATACAAACAAACTATTCAGCTTTATTTATTAAGTTTAGATAAAAATATGACAATTAAGAAATCTTTAGCTATTCTTACATTTTACTACTTAGATTTTAATTAAGAACAAAGGTGAATACATAAAAATTTTCAATTCGCCTCCTTTTTTAAGGATAAGTAAGAAGAAATGGCATGACTTGATGGTGCGTGATATATCCCAGCCTTATAGCATCTAAACAAGACGCGCTGTCGACATTTTTTGGCTTTGGACATTCGGAAATTCACAGACCGAAAACGAAACGCAATCAAGATTCACGGCTTTCTCGTATGTGGTGGTCGACACCCGAGCGGGATTACTATATTCCACCCATTGATTATCCAAATCGATTTATGATTTAGATGAAAAATTAGAAACATGGGATCCCCTTGGGAATCAAACCCGCGACCCGTTGGTTATTAGCCATACTTGCTACCACTAGACCTGTTGATGATGTACCTGTTTTTATATACATTAATAATAATGAATAAGTAGTTAGCGCTGAAAACAATTTGCGGAAAGCGCAAGTTTTGTTGATGTTCGTAAATCATGCACGAAACGCTACGTTTAGTTTCCAGCTTAAAGTTTGAGCTTAATGGAGATTTTACAGCACCGAAATAAGCCACGTCAACGCTGTTTGTGTTACGCGCTTGTATATACCATAATATTGTGGGGTGTCTCTTCTTTATGACAGAGGAGGACAGAAAAGCATGCGGTTCACTTACTAGTAGCTGAAATATAACATCTAAAATACGGTGTCGACCTATTATCGATTTCGATATTATATTCACAGACTGAAACCGAAACGCGATTAAATTTGACGGCTTCTTCCCAAAATTGAAAAATTATATAGATGTTGGACACGGTGGGGATCGAACCTGTGACCCATTGATTAGTCCGTCTGCTCGATGTCGAAACTTATGATAGGAGGCTTTTGCAGACGATGGAAGGACTCCAACGAGAGTCAAATCAATTTAAACACTCTTAACGGTTCAAAATGCGAAATATATTATTAGTAAACTTCCGGCCAGACGTCTCGGGTGCTTTGATGCAGCCGTGGTCATGGGGGGAATGAAGATGGAGAGTGTCCCTAATGTTAATTTGTTTGTTATTATTTGGTTTCGAGAAACTCCTGGTTCCTTACAAAACTAACTCATAATGTCCTCTTGTTTTAATATCCTAAGTGTTCGATACCTTAAAGCCGTAGTTAATAATTTAACTAATATACACATCTATTTATTTACAAATTCAAATTATTTTATCAGTGACATTAATGTTTTATAGAAAAAGGTTTAAAAATAACTTACTTTCGTTATAATTCGAAGAAAGTTACTATAAACAATATTTCTAGAAATTGTCCCTTGCGGGAAAATGTAAGACATAAAATCACACCACGCGCCCCCATATTAAACATTTAACAGCATTTAACCTGGAAAAATATTATTAACGCAACAGTCGCGTGCTATATATAACATAGGACGAGTAACACGCTAGACGCCTGCGCGTACGCACGTATCAAAAATGGCGGCCGTGATGTGAACGATGTGAAGTGCGATGTTCAATTTCAAAGTGAAACACAAGGAGAGAGATGTGCATTGTTATGGTGTTAAAAAGCCTCCTAAAATACCAACGAAACATCAAAGGCGTAAGTAAATAGATCTTTAATAAAATTTTGAGGTTATTGGGTAATGTTTACGGACGGACGGTGTCATTTTGTAGGGCGCGTGAAATTACGGATCACTCTCTACATCTATACTTGATATTATAAAGCTGAAGAGTTTGTTAACGCTGTACCTATCAAGGAATTATTGGTTTGAATTGAAAAATTTTTGCAGTTTAGGTCAATAAGCGAGGCTTGGAGTCTAAACTAATGTTTGATATTCTTAACTTTGGATTATAAAACCTCAGGCGGTGACCAATATGTTCGAAGAAACAGAATGAAATGTGAGAAAAACTGTAAAATAATTAATCTTTGTGGGTATCCGTTGTGCACGAAAAAGAAATTGTTTTAATAATACAATTTATATAGAATTATAATAAAACCTTAACCTTATTTTTGGGCCTATTCGTAGTCGTAAATAAACGATCTGGTGTACTAACTATACTGATATATTAAGATTTCACTCACTGTTGTTTGTTTGTCTGTTCATAAAAGTCCGATTAGGCTATACTAAGAAGAAATAAAACCCGGTTTGTCTTCGAATTTTTGTGTTCCTTGACAATAAGCCACAACTACTTTTAGGCATAATTAATATTTATTTATAACATTCTATGTATAGCATATCTATATCTATACTAATATATAAATTTTAATTGTAAATTATGTACTTTGTGATAATAAACGGATTATTTATTTATTTATTAAAGCTGAAGAGTTTGTTTATTTGAATGCGCTGCAGGAACTACGGGTTCGAATTGGTGGTTAAAGATTTATCGACGAAGGCTATGGGCTATAAAACATTGACCTGTGACGAATACAAGCGAATATACAGCCAGAAATGTGAAAAATATTAGGAAAATTATTCATCATTATTATTTCCAAAGTGTACACTGCAAAAACGGTTCGATATACCCAAAAAATATGTATGAACGAATGATTCCTCTTTAAATGATATGAAAAATGTCCGCGGTACTAAATGTCTATCTTTTAAGATTAACTTGCAAGAACGACAGGAAGAACACGACGCGACTGACGTCGTGGGTAACAGCTTAATTTTATAAAGATAAAGGTGTTTGCAAAAACGAAATTGGATGCCCAAAATAAGAATTCTCGCGGACGAAGTAGCTGAGGACACAGCTAGTTTTTGATATGTCCCAAATCACCACGTATAGCCAATCCGTTATCAACACTAGCACTATTGAGTTGCACACAACCCTTAATAACGTATTTTACGTTGAAATCGCGTAACATCAAAGGTTAGTGTTAACCCAGCTTAATCAAGTACGTGGAAGTTTATATCAGTCAATGTAAAGCCAGCTTACACTAGTTAAGGGTTGCTATGGCAACGGTTGTAGAGTAGGTAACTTTGAAAGATTACGTAGTTTGCATTTTGTACTTTTATTATAAGACGGACATCTATACATAAGCTACAGAGTAGCTAACGGGAGTAGTACGCATTTAATTAAAATCTTTTATCTAACGCATTTCGCGTTTTAAACCGTTAAAAGTATTTTGGTCATACTACGTCTCCTTACCGTGAGATCTAATTAATCATTATCAATGTCAAGTTTTAGTAATAATGTATGTATTTTACTCGAAAAAATGAGATGTCAAGTCACGGTTTAATAGTATTCAATATTAATTTGAAACATCCATGTAATCAATTTTAAGTATTTTGATTATTTAAGTAAAGGAAAACTTTACAAAGTTATTGTTAGATAATTCTGTAATACTGTTTAAAAATCTCTCAGACGGTTATATTATTCATTTTGTTTTTAATACAAATGATATAAACAGACGTAATTCTATAAATTCATTATATCTGTTACAAGCTTAAAGATAATATTATTAGTATTTTGTACAATCCTTTGCATTTTGGTATTAGTTGAATAAATAGTTACATATTGATGAACATAATTCACAAAAAGAGGGTAGTTTATAAAAACAATGCCAGCGGTGGACAATCTTTTGCAACTTAGAGTCTGCAAATACAAAAATTATTCAGACCGAACTGTAAGTAAAGTTTTATAAAAATTGGTCAAGTTTCGGAGGAGTATGGTAACAAATACTGACACAAGTAAATATTGAATTTGCAATAATATTATGTAAGCCCGGCCTCGACCATTACCAGTCTACAGTTCCATTTGTTATAAGTTTCTGGAACGCAAATTAAAAAGTTCCATCGTGGTTCTTACAAAACTTTTTAGTAAAATGCTCTACAATCAATTAACATTCTTTGCTCAAAATGAGGTTTCTTCGATTGTTTATTTATGCATTTAACTTTTTGAAGTTTTTTTCCTCTAAATAGATTTTCAATTTATCGAGAATTATTAAGCAGTTTGTTGTAATCTTGTCTTGGAAAGTTGTATTCGTTCAACTGCACGGGGCAGAAGTAATTATTCTCTCTTACACGTATCACTCACCATCAAGTTTAGCAGTGCTCTAAAGCACTCAAAATTATGCTTCCCTGGAATTCAAATCTCTTGCACTAAAACATTGAGCTATGGAGACCGTCGTAATGTTCTTATCCAAAAAATAATTTCTGACGCGTTGCTTACTGGTTTACAGGGATAACTGAAGTTAGTAAAATAGGGTCCTGTAATTCGGAATTACTATGCTATTGTTAAAATCTATATTATAGTTTATTTGAATGCTCTAATCTCAAGAACTAGTGGTTCGAATTGAAATATTAGTTTTGTGTTTGTTAGGCGATTAATGAATCGAAAAACTAGGAAAATTATTGCGCTGCGAGAACGTTTCAAGATAGCCAAAGAATAACAACAAATAATTTTTCTTTATTAAATAATCTAATGAAATCTCCGCGACAATGTATGTATATCTTTTAATATTAACTCGCAAGAACAACGGCACGTGACCGACGTGGATAGCAATTAAAAGTAATAATGCCAACCAAAAACAAATTTTCATGCCCAAAGTACCTAACTACTACGCGGCGACGTAGCTGGTAAATAGTCCCAAATAATTGTATCGCGCTACCAATGACTCGTATTAGTAACTGAGAACAGTGAATGGATTTCAAATACCCGACAGATATAAATAGCGTGTATTTGTAAACACGGCCGTTTTATTGCTGCGCAGGCTGTCGCTTCCGCTGTTTGGACAGACGGACAGACATACAAACAGACGATTACGGCACTGATTGCCTAGTCTAGACTAGACTCTAGAGTCTAATGTTTAATTACGCAAAAAAAGTACCTAGATGATTTAAAAAAATGTATTGTGTTTCACTCTAAATTAAAAATGTGTCTATTACTGTGTGTGTATTGAGGGTTGGTGTATGGCAACTAGTAATGGCTAATGGTCGCGGGTTCGCCTCGGGTTAGACATTTTTCCTTAATTTATAATTTCTCTGAAACATGTGGAAATTTGTCTAGAAATATTGATATTTTAAGGAGAACTCCATCCAGGTCACGGACCCCCGTCCATAGATGAAAAAGCCGTCAAATTTAATCGCATTCGTTTCAGTCTGCGGATTTTTACATCAAGAAAATTGGTCGACATTGTCTTGTTTAGATGTTAGGTATTCTATAAGTTGTTCAAGAAAAATATAAAAAACATTTCATATATATATAAAAAAAAAAGTTCATTTTAGTATTCTATGTGAGTCTTCCTAACATTAAGTTTAGTTTACTTGTATTTATTGCTCATACAAAGCGTAAGAAAAGAAATCTAAGCTTAACCAATTAGGTTAGTAATTTTAATCATCTGTATCTCTATTAAAAGAAGAAAATATATATAAAATTACAGTTACTATTCGAAAATCCTCTTTAGAAAACATTCACTCAAAAACCTTTCAGTGTCTACTTATCTTAATTGAAAGCTGCGAATCCTCTACGGCTTCTTAAAACGAATCTATTCCATCATAAAGACAATTAATTACGAGCCATAAAAACGCTAAGCTTCGCCGCGATGAGAATTAATAACAGAAATTAATTGTCTTAAATTATTCTTTATAGAGTACGAGGAATTGTCTAATTTATCAACAAACCAATTAATTGCTTTAGAAATGGCTTTTAATCTTCACATAAATTGCTTTTTTTGTTGGTTCAGTAGTTGGTGCAGTCATATTTAACAATGGTTCAAGTAATTTGTTACAGACAAGATGTATGACATACCTTTAATTAATTTCTTTTAGACTAAACATTATAATGTATTAATTCACTTTGTTCGTTAGGTTAGTTTGTCAGTCGATTATACTAAAACAACTAGACGGTTAGAAGATCTTTATAATTAGTACAATTAGGAATCGGTCTTGTATTTCAATACGCAATAAAGGATAAATAATCTCACATAGATTTTTTACATCTTCAATAACACGCAGTACTTCTACTCCTGAAGCACAGTTTGGGTTCAGTAAGTATGCTGGACCGGTTGACAACACCATCCTGACTCGCAGCGCTAATTACGCTAAGATAGAAAAACAAGACTACATGTAACAATATTATTAAAATTGGATTTTAAGCTCTGGCAAACTTTGTGGAATCAGCTGACAGACAGCGGATTTGCACTCTGATTACATTTGCGCTAATTACGTTACGATACAGTCACAGGACTACATTTAATTACTATTATTTAAATTTGCTTTCAAGCGGTGCTATGTAGCAACGGCTGAGAAACAGCGGAACCGTGCGCTGATTCGCAGCGCTACATATAATACGATACAATAATAAAAGTACATGTACCTATTTTTAAAATAGACTTTTAAGAGCAGCGAAACGGGGTTCATGTTTGATTCATTCCCTACGGATAATCCCATCACATTGATATGTATTATGTAAGTACCCTGTCTGAGCATCGAAGGTTTCCAAGAAAAATCGCTCCCCGATAGAAACACATTATCATATTTATAACCGAGATTCGAGATCTTAAACTAATGGCGTCTCCGCTTGAAAGAAACCAGCTATGTCCATTAGTCCAGTGAGATTAGGGCTTAATTTTAGAATTGACTCCTTAATCGTTGCCCG